GAGTGCTAGGATTACAGGCGTGAGCCACCGCGCCCGGCCTGGAGCCTTCCTTTGTTCAACTAAACAGACCCCAAAGCTCCTCATATGAATGATTTGCCATGATTTGTTAGAATCAATAAGCATGTATGTGGATAATAGTGTCACTGTTAATTCATGTCAACTCTACACTTAACACAATGACCAGTGAAGAGCTTTTTCTGCAGGGTAATGTGTTAATATGAACAACGCTTTAAATATCCGACTTCCTTTGACTCAGTAATTCTCCTTATAGAAATTAAGCCCAAGGAAATGGTTGGACAGTGCACAATGATATTAATAGCACCACAAACATGTTCATCCCAGCTCAGCATTGTTTATCATAGGGAAGATAAATACTAAGCAACCTAAATACTAACCTAAATACTACCTAAATACTAAGCATCTATAAAAATGATGATGTAGGCCAGGCGTGGTGGCTCACGCCTGTAATCCTAGCACTCTGGGAGGCCAAGGCGAGTGGATCACTCAAGGTCAGGAGTTCAAGACCAGCCTGAGCAAGAGCGAGATTCTGTGTCTGCTAAAAATAAAAAGAAATTATCTAGACAACGAGAAAAATATATATAGAAAAAATTAGCCAGGCATGGTGGTGCATACCTGTAGTCCCAGCTACTCGGGAGGCTGAGGCAGGAGGATTGCTTGAGCCCAGGAGTTTGAGGTTGCCATGAGCTAGGCTGATGCCACGGCACTCTAGCCCGGGCAACAGAGCCAGACTCTATCTCAAAAAAAAAAAGAAAGATGATATAGATGGTCATTTATAATCATAGAAATATGTGTGGAACATATAAAGTGTCAAAAGCAGGTTTCCTAATGAAGTTATAGTGTCGCCTTATTTTTGTAAATATATACAGTATGTATACATATATATATATAGGAGAATGCATATATAAAAATGGGGTTATATCAGCGATATTAGATTTAAATTTTTCTAATTAATTTGCATTTCATAATTTTTCTATGAGAACACAAGTTGGTTGTATAATATGTAGATGGATAAACATATTGGGGTTTAGAGATGGAGACTCAATATGTTGCCCAGGCTGGTCTTGAACTCCTGGCCTCAAGTGATTCTCCCACTTTGGCCTCCCAAAGTACTGGGATTACAGGCATGAGCCACTGAGCCCAGCCCATACATGTTATTTTCTTAAAGGCTGTTGAGTGACTCAGGGCAGAGCTGATCAGAGTCTGAACCCAGGATAGGCAAAGTGGAGGGAGTGGAGAAAGGGGACCAATTTTTCTGATGGATAGGCAAGACTTGGAAACCAATTGGATATACTTGTGGCTAGTGAGGGTGGGATGAGTTCACAGGTTTTTTTGTTTTATTTTGGAAACAGGATCTGGCTCTGTCTCCCAGGCTGGATTGCGGTGGTGCAATTATAGCTCACTCTAACCTCAAATTCCTAAACTCAAGCAATCCTCCTGCCTCACCCTCCTGAGTAGCTGGGACTACAGGCGCTGGCCACCATGGCTGGGTAATTTAAAAAAATTTTTTTAGAGAAGGGGTCTTGCTTATTGCCCAGGCTGGTCTCAAACTCCTGGCCTCAAGTGATCCTCCAGCCTTGCCTTCCCAAAGTGCCAGGATTACAATTGTGAGCCACCATGCCCAGCCAGAGTTTTAACTAAGCCATAGGACTGTTCAGCCTAATGAGAAATGCAGGAGGAAGGCTGCGGTGGGGTGGGGAGAGAGATAATTAGCCCTTCCCTTTGCTTATTTCTAAGCACTCTGTCCTACTGCACTTTTAGCATGAATACTGTGTATCACACTTACTTGTGGCTGTCTCTGTCCTCAGAGGGCTGCAACCGTGACTTGATACACCCTGTCTGGATACTCAGCAACTAACCAAGAAGAGTGGTCACGAGATTTGAGCTGGTGGCACTGTCACACTCCATATCTCCTATAATGGTATTAAGTAGCATTTTGTGTGAGCTCATCTCATATCCTCGGAGCTTTATGTATATTAACCCAGCGGTTCCCAACCTTTTTGGCACTGGGGACCAGTTTCATGGAAGACAATTTTTCCACGGATGGAGTGGGGGGATGGTTTCAGGATGATTCAAGCGTGTTACATTTATTGTGCAGTCAAACCTCTCTGCTAATGAGAATCTGTATTTGCAGCTGCTCCTCAGCGCTAGCATCACCGCCTCAGCTCCATCTCAGATCACCAGGCATTGGATTCTCATAAGGAGCACGCAGCCTAGATCCCTCCATGCGCAGTTTACAGTAGGGCTCACGCTCCTGTGAGAATCTAATGCCACCTGCTGATCTGACAGGAGGCGGAGCTTACACAGTGATGCCAGCCATGGGGAGCGGCTGTAAATACAGATGAAGCTTTGCTCTCTCACCTGATGCTCACCTCCTGCTGTGAGGCCTGGTTCCTAACAGGCCACGAACCAGTACCAGTAAAGGGGTACTGGTCCTTGGCACAGGGGTTGGGGACTGCAGTATTAACCCATATAATCTTTTTTTCTGAATTATTTTATTTTTTTAAAAGCCAGTCAAATTTAGCAGCGGGGGCATTGTATACCCATATAATCTTTATTATGACCCTCTGATGTAGAATTATTAATGGTGCCATTTAACAGATGAAGAAGCTGAGTCACAGAGAGCACAGAAGTTACAGTAAAATGCCCAAGGTCACACAGCTGGTAAAGTCACACAGCTCTGTTTTTTTTTTTTTTTTTGAGACAGGGTCTTTCTCTGTCACCTGGAGTAGAGTGCAGTGGCATCATCATAACTCACTGAAACCTCACATTGCTGGGCTCAAGTGATCTTCCTGACTCAGCCTCTGTAGTAGCTGGGACTATAGACACTGCCACCACAGCTAATTTTTCTATGTTTTGGAGAGATGGGGTCTCGCTCTTGCTCAGGCTGATCTTGAACTCCTAGCCTCAAGCAATCCTTCTGCCACTGCCTCGCAGAGTGCTAGGATTATAGGCACGAGCCACTGTGCCCAGCCTACACAGCTTTTATTGACTATGTATCTCTATAATCACGTGTACTTTGCAAAACCTCTCACTTCAATGTGCCAGGTGCTTCCGATGCCATCTGATGGATGAGGAAAGAAAGGCCCAGAGAGGCAACTCTTCTAAGGTTACAGGAGGGGAACAGTACTAGACATGAGGTTGAAGTAAGGATGAGATATACACATGGCAATATGAATGGATCTCAAAAAAATAATGCTGAATGAAAAAATTAACTGAATGACCATTTGTATAAATGTTCATGTACATGAAAATGTACCTGTTGTACATTATACATTTTTCAAAATGCATACAATCCAAAAAAGTACACGTTGATCACATTAGAGTGGTTGCCTTAGTGCAGGAAGGGGAAAGGAGTGAACCGTGGGGTTCTATTAGTCTGCTTGGGGTGCTGTAAGAGAATACCACAGATCAGGCAGCTTAAACAACAGATACTTATTTTTTCACAGTTCTGGAGACTGGAGGAACCAAGATGCAGGTGGCTTCAAGGTTGATGTCCGGTGAGGTCCCTCTCCTTGGGTTGCAGATGGCTGCCTTCTTGCTGTGTCTTCACATGGCCTTTCCTCTGTGGGTACACACACAGAGACAGAGATGGTGTCTTTTCCTCGTTTTTTTTTTTTTTTTTTTTTTTTTTGAGATGGAGTCTCCCTGTGTTCCCCAGGCTGGCCTCAAATTCCTGGGCTCAAGTAGCAGGGACTTCAAGCACAAGGTATCTTTTCCTCTCCTTATAAGGACACTAGTCCTATTGGATTAGGGCCCCACCCTTACGACTTCATTTAACTTTAATTACCTCCTTAATAGAGGTTAGAGCTTCAATATAATGAATTTTGGGGGGTACACAATTCAGTCCATAACAGGGGCTAAAAGGGAAATAATAAATAAAACCAAAGGGAGTGGAGAAAGAAAATGGGGTTGGAGAGGTAGGCAGGACCCAGATCAAGCAGGGCCTTGTAGGCCATGGTAAGGAGGCTCAGAGAGGTTAATTTACATACCCAAGGTCATCCAGCTCATAAATGCTAAATCCAGGGTTTGTATATATAACTGATTGACTCCAAAACCCATGTCATCTCAAACCACTCTGAGTCCTGATAACAAAGCTGAAATGTGTGTATTTCGTTTTACCATGAGGAAAGTGGAGTTCAGAGAGGTCAAATGACTTGCCCAAGGTCACACAGTAAGTGGTAGAGGTGAGGTTTTGTGGGTTTTTTCTGACTCCAAAGCAAGGCTATTTTTCATATGCTCTGTAGCCTCCCAGCCTTTGTCTCTGACTCAATTTGTTTACGCATTCTTTCATGCATTCATGCATCTAGCATATTATTTATTGGCACCTTCTTTGTGCCAGGCCCTGTACAAGACACTGGGGATATAGAAATTAAGACAACGTGGTCCCTGTCCTCAGAGAGCTCAGCCAGGAGTAGAAGACAGCCAGGTGAGCAGATGTGGGCATTGGAGGGGCCTGTGAAAGGTGCTGGGGAGTCTAAAGGAGGGTGAATGCTCTGCCTAGGGTAGTTGGGGAAGATATCACAGAGAAGGCAGAGCCCTTTGAATCGAATCCTTGAGGGATGAAGAGGAGTTCACCTGGTGCAGAAAAAGGAAAAGCTCAATGTGGGCAGAGAGCTAAGGATGTTTAGACCAGTGAGAGATGGGGTGATGAAGCCAGCTGGGGGAGGCTTTGGCTGTCAGGGAAGAACTCGGAATTTGATTCTGAGTCACTGGGGAGTCCCTGAAGTGTTTTGAGCAGGGGAGTTCCTTGGATAGGATTCTGAAGGAAGGTCTCTGGCAGTGATTTCCAAAGACCTGGAGTCCTTTTAAGGATCCATTGAATTCACTGTATGAGCTGAAAAATTGATGGCTCCTCCCACCCCCAATCCCATTATAGCTTTTGGTCCACTCAGACCTTGGGAACTTTTTTTTTTTTTTCCATCTCATTAAACCCTTTGTCTCACCTGCTAAAGAGAGCGGCCTGCTTCCTTCCTCTCTGCCCTTACCCCACCTCTCACCACAGTGATGGGCTACCGAGGGGCTTGGAATAGAGGTATGTGGAGAATGGAGGGGTTAGAGCTTCCCACAGGGGTGGATGGGCAAAGGGATACAGGAGGTGGGAATCCCAGGTGTTCTTGGTCTTGGCTTTCCCCACCTGTCTGGGCCTGGGCCAGTCTAGCATCTCAGCTTCCTATACACCCTCCCCCTTGTTTGCTGCACTCAACTTCCTGTCCCACCAGAGGAAGTGGGCAGCATAGCAGGTGCAACGACAGCTAGCGGAGCCATGGTGAGTCCTTACGCCCAGGAACCCAGGCATCTCAGCCCCCAGCCCCCTATTCCTGGGGTCCCCAGGTTGACCCACAGTAGGCTGACTTTTCCTAGCCCCTAAGCTAGGGAAAGTGATACTGGGGGCTCTGCCTGCCACTTCCAACAACCGCATATTGTCCACCCCCCACCAACAGGACAAGGAGTATGTGGGTTTCGCTGCCCTCCCCAATCAGCTGCACCGCAAGTCTGTCAAGAAGGGGTTTGACTTCACACTTATGGTGGCAGGTCTGGGGGTTTTGCAGAGGGAACTGGGGAGGGGGTGTGCTCAAGAGACCCTGGTGGTCCCCTCACCTGACCTGTTGGGCCTGTCCTGTCCACAGGGGAGTCAGGCCTGGGGAAATCCACCCTCATCAACAGCCTGTTCCTCACCAACCTCTATGAGGATCGGCAGGTGCCAGAGGCTAGTGGTAAGACCCTCCCCACCCTCTCCAGGCAGTGCCCTCTGCCCCTCCCCATGCCCCCAGGCTGCACTCGTCCTTTCCGTCTGGGGACTCAGGCAGCTCATTCACTGCTTTTCTCTGAGACTGTTTCCTCCCTTGAGAAACGGGTGGGATTAACTGTGATACTGAGAAGGGAAATTGGTCCTGCCACAGACCCCTCCCCAGCTCCCTGCCCTCTCCCCATCCCCATAGCTCGCTTGACACAAACGCTGACCATTGAGCGCCGGGGCGTGGAGATCGAGGAGGGGGGTATCAAGGTGAAGCTCACCCTGGTGGACACTCCTGGCTTTGGGGACTCAGTGGACTGCTCGGACTGGTGAGAAGGGTAGGGGATGGAGGCTGAGCCTCTCAAAGTGGCTACTCTGTGGAGACCAAGGGTCAGTTACAGGGCTGGTCTGTCCTGGCTCCCTAACCCAAAAGGCGGTGCTCTGCTTCCAAGATGCTCTGTGCTTCTTGATGTCTCCCCATGCCCCCACCGGTCTCCCTTGATGTCTTTGGTTGGAACCAAAGAAACTACTTCCCACTCCCACAGTCCTGGCTAGCCTTGTCCCTGTCCCTGTGGCCCTGACCTCTGACGACATGCCCTCTCCTCACACCCCAGCTGGCTGCCCGTGGTGCGTTTCATCGAGGAGCAATTTGAGCAGTACCTTAGGGATGAGAGTGGCCTGAACCGGAAGAACATCCAGGATTCCCGAGTCCACTGCTGCCTCTACTTCATCTCACCCTTCGGCCGGGGGTCTGGGGAGCCCCCTGGGGGTTGGAGCATTTGGGGAGGGCTGGGGGCTCTCTGCGCCCTGGGACTGGGTGCTGACCAATCTCTGGATGCAGGCTCCGGCCCCTAGATGTGGCCTTCCTCCGGGCAGTACACGAGAAAGTCAACATCATCCCAGTCATCGGCAAAGCAGATGCCCTCATGCCTAAGGAAACTCAGGCCCTCAAGCAGAAGGTGGGTGGTGGCCTCTGACCTTTGGCCCCAAGTGAGGCCAAAAGTTATGACCAAACCTGATTTCAGCTTTAACTTCTTTGATCTTGGGGTGGCCTTTTGGGAGCATGATATGCCAGCTAGACTGTGGGAGAAAGTGTCTGAGGAAGGCAGGTAGTACGCTGCCAGAGGCAGCCATGTCTCTGAAGGCTGGAAATAGGGTGTGTGTGCAGCCCCTGGGCCAGACGCTGGGCTGAGGCCTGTCTGGAGGGCAGGGGCATAGACACAAGGACATCATGACCTCCGTTTGGCGCCAGGATGCTGATGACCCCCCACCACAGTGTCTTTAGAGCCCTCTCACACTGTTTCTGCTGCCTTCTCTCCTGGAGTCTTAATGGGTGCCCATCTTAGAATCTTGTCTTGGTTCCACATCATCTATATCTCTCAGATTTTGTTTTCAGTCATCCTTCGTGTCTGTCTCTCACCGTCTGTCTTTCATGTCTTTTTCTCTGACCACCCAGTATCTCTGTATCTCACTGGCTCTGGCCGTGTGTCTGTCTGTCATCATGGCCTCTGTGTTTCACATGGTCTCTGTATCTCTCTCCTCTGAGATCCGGGACCAGTTGAGAGAGGAGGAGATCAACATCTACCAGTTCCCGGAATGTGACTCTGATGAAGATGAAGACTTCAAGAGGCAGGATGCAGAGATGAAGGTGTGAGAGGCAAAGGAGGAAGGGGCAGAGAAGCAGAGGAGGTGGATGTGGAGGTTGAATCTGAGAAAGAGGTTTCTGCCCATGAGGGGCCAACAGCGACCCCTGACCCCTGCCTTCTAGGAAAGCATCCCTTTTGCAGTCGTCGGTTCCTGCGAGGTGGTGAGGGATGGCGGGAACCGACCGATGAGGGGACGCCGCTACTCTTGGGGTACTGTGGAGGGTAAGACCAGTAGGGAGCTCATGCTGCCTCCAAGTCAGCCGCACCCAGCATGTGAAGTGGGGGTGGGCTCTGGGACTGGGGGGATCATAGGAGCCAAAAGATGGGTTCTTGGGCCGCAGAGTGCGACCCCTCCGCTAGAGTGGCGACAGGACTCCCTGCAGACCCGACACTATGGGTAGGGTTGGACCCAAAGCTCCCTGACGCTCGCTGGTCCGCCCCCCAGTGGAGAACCCACATCACTGCGATTTCCTGAATCTGCGACGGATGCTGGTGCAGACACACCTGCAGGACTTGAAAGAGGTGACGCATGATGTGCTCTACGAGGGCTACCGGGCCCGCTGCCTACAGAGTCTGGCCCGGCCTGGGGCTCGTGATCGAGCCAGCCGCAGGTGAGAGCAGGAGCCAACTGTCCGGGTGCTTCCAAGGCCCCGCCCCCACCCATGACCCCGCCTCCCAGGCCCGGTCCTCACCCTGCGTGACCTCGCCTTCACCACCCAGACCTCTCTCTCAGGCTTTCTCCACCCATTTTGTCTCTGTCTCTAACCTCAAGGACATGGCTCCACCTCCTAGACACCAACCTCGCCCCAGGCCCTGATTCGGCCCTTACCCACAACCCCAGGTCCTTTTCTTGATCCCTGTCCCCTTCCCACTACCCCCCAGTAAGCTTTCCCGCCAGAGCGCCACAGAGATCCCGCTGCCCATGCTGCCTCTGGCCGAGACGGAGAAGCTGATCCGCGAGAAAGACGAAGAGGTGAGCAAGCACCTCGCTTTCCCCGACCAACGTCTCAGGTCGCTTTCGAGGTCCCTCTCTGGCCTCGCCCTGTCCCATCGCCTGCAATCTTGCCCCGCACAGCTGCGCCGCATGCAAGAGATGCTGGAGAAGATGCAGGCCCAGATGCAGCAGAGCCAGGCTCCCGGCGAGCAGTCGGACGCTCTCTGAGGCCCGGTCCCGCCTCTCCTCGGCTCCGCCCCAGTCCGTCCCGTGTCCAATCCCCGCAGCCCCAGCCGCCGGGCCGTCCTTGCCCGGGTCCGTGCGGGCCCTCTCGCCGCGCGCTTCTACCGGTGCCTGAGTTGTAGCCCCCGGCCCGCCCTCCCTCCGCCCACTTCCCCCGCCGCTCCTCTCCGGGTCGCCCCTCTAAACCCCAGCTCTGTCTTCAATAAAAACTGAGCTTCCCTGAGGCCACGCGAGTCTTCTCCTAACTAGCGGGGACGGGCGGCGGGCGTAACGCGTTCCTTCGTTCGCGGGCACTCCCCGCGTGCCGCAGGCCCTCCCGCACAAACACTGCGGCGCGCGCCGGTAAGAAACAAAGACCAACTGAATTTTATTGGGAGTCGGGTGGGGGTCGGACTGGCCGGAAGCATTGGCCGGCCTAAGGGGGCCTCCTACTCCTGGTCCTTGGCGTCGCCATGCGTGATGACATAGCAGATGTTCTTGTAGTCTACGTTGCCGCCCACGTCGGGAGGGAAGGCTGCCCACATGTTCTTGATCTGTGGGTAGACGCAGGGACATCTCCTACCGGCCTTTAAGCTCCGCTCCCCACCCTGCCTCCCTGCCCTCGCTTCACCCGGCCACTCCCCAACTCACCTCCGCCGGGGTGAAGCGGTCACACTGCGTGGTAAGCAGCTCCTCCAGGCTGGAGAGAAGTGACATGGAGAGTTGAGATTGGGTTCATGCTTCCTTTCCACTACCTCCCACCTCATCCCCGTTGCTACCTCTTATGTCCCCTGGAAACCGGGGTCACTCTAGAGCCCTCACTGGCTTTCCAAGCTCTCTGGCCTCTTTGCCCGTCCCCCCACATATATGTGAAAATGCAATCCTACTGCCCATTTCCTAACTTCTCCCTCACCTCTGGCAGTGCCTAACCCTTGGTTGGAATTTAAGGGGGCTTTCTGTGTGGGAACACCTGGCCGGCACTTACAACTGCTTCTTGATGGTGCCCTTCCCGTCAGGGTCCAGGACCTTGAAGGCTCCAGTGATCACATCCTCAGGGTCGGCACCTGGGGAGGTCAGAGGGCACATGAGGCCTAAGGGTCCCTGCAGGGTCTGGGAAGAAGCAGCTGAGGGCTTGGACCCAGGACACTTCACTCACCCTTGAGCTTCTCCCCGAACATGTTCAGGAAGACGGTGAAGTTGATGGGACCACTGGCTTCCTTCATCATGGCATCTAGCTCCTCATTCTTCACATTAAGGCGGCCTGGAGGGGGTTGGGGGAAGCATGGTCTGGAACAGCTTCTTGGGCCAGGGCTGTGCTTCCCATAAATTCAGATCATCCCATCCATTTTTCAGTTGGGTAAACTGAATTCCCCAGACTCTGCAGCTTTGACTATTTATAGATGGAGTGGGGGCTCACCCATGGCTGCAAAGGTGTCCCGAAGGTCCTCCTTGTCGATAATGCCATCGCGGTTCTGGTCGATTACTGTGAAGGCCTGTGGAGGGCAGGGGTGGGGAGGGGTTAGGTCCCCCATGGTCAGGCCTCACTCAGCATCCCTACCCCAGCCAGATCGGATTCTGACCCCCAGCCAGCTGTCCTCTCCCACCCCAAGCAGGGAGGGGAGGAAGGAATTCTAAACCCTTCCCCTCCCTCCAAACAGGTGCACATTCCAGGAAGGGGGCTGGGGGGAGGGGCAGAAGGGGGTGCCTTTGGTCAGTCTTCAGTCTTCCCTCTCCCCTCAGTCACCTCCTTGAACTCCTGGATCTGAGTCTGGTCGAACATGGAGAAGACACTGGAGCTTCCGCCCTCTGCTGCTGCCCTTCTCCTGGCCTTCTTGGGTGCCTAGGGGGTGAGGGTTGGGCAAAGGGATCCATGGGCCAGTCCCTACACCTATCTGGGGGCAATGGATTAGATTCAGCATTCTTGAACTCCCTTCTTTTTTTCTTTAATTTTATTTTTTTAGAGACAGGGTCTCATTCTGTTGCTCAGGCTGGAGTGCAGCGGCCCAATCAGAACTCACTGTAACCTCGAATTCCTGGGTTTAGGCAATCCTCCTGCCCCAGCCTCCTGAGCAGCAGGGACTACAGGCGTCTGCCACCATGCCTGGCTAATTTTTAAATTTTTTTCAGAGACAGGGTCTTGCTATGTTGTCCAGGCTTTTAGGTCCCTTCTAAAGCAACTCTTCTGGCCTGGGCCTCCTACTCCTTGGGACCTCTTTGCTGCGGGGGCTTGCTTTGGTTGCATTTCCCAAATTCCTACAGTGGCCCCTGTCTCCCCATCCCTCCATCCTACCCAACAGATGAACACTTCCCTTCTCAGTACCCTGAGCCTGCCTCCCCTGAGTCTCACGCTTGCTGTGTGACGCTGATCCACTCATTTACCCTGTCTGAACCTCTGCTTTCTCATTTATTAAATGGAGTGAGAATCCTTGTCTGGCTGGTTGCAGAGGACTTTAGGAAGTTGGAGTATAGGAAGGGATGGAGGAGGATTTGAGAGGGACTGGAGTGGATTAGGAACTGTGAGTGGAGAGTTGGGGTAGATTATGTTTGGCTGGGTCCTTTAGGCCATTACTCTGGTTGTCTTTATCCTGATTTATCCTTTACCCTGTCTTTATCCTGCCAAGAAAGTGAGGAGTCATCTCTTTACCTTTTGTTGGACTGGGAACCAGCTACTTTCTTTCAAAGGGTGAGGCTGCCCTGAAGTCTAAGGGATCTGGGCAGGGGTTGGAGGTTTCTCACTTACCATGTCTTCGGTCTCCTGGGGGCAAGGCAGTGGCTCTGGCTGGAAAGAAGCAGAGAGTCAGCCTGGGGCAGTCCCTCTGGGGTTATATAGTCTTGCCCAAGGGAGCCCTTAACATACCAGGGTAACCTTAGCCCTGCAAGTGCCCACCCCAGATACCAAAATAGCCCGGCTCAGGGCTTCTCCTTTCTTGGAGGGCCCAAAGCAGCTGGAGCCCAGGGAGGGAGGGAGGAGGGTGTGGATCTTAGGATGCATGTTTCACTAGGGCCTAGACAGGAAGGGATGTTCTTTCTCCCAAAAGGGGGCTGGAATATGCCAGGGTTCAGAGGGCACCCAAGCCAAGGTGCAGTTCTTGGAGAGAGATGAATGAGGGACCTGTGCCCCTGAGTCGGGTAGGCCCAGATTTAAACCTAGTGAGCATTTATTGAGCACCTACAGCGTGCCAGGTGCTGGGCTGGGCTTTGTGGATGCACTTTGGCAAACACAGTCCCCCCACATGGTGGAGTTTACAGTCAAGTGTGTGTATGCATGGGGGTAGTGGCAGAGCTTAAAGGTGGGAGAGAGCCATCTGTGGAAGCTGGGGGATCAGGAGGGTCTCCTATACCCCCTTCAAGGAGAGGGGGGATTTTGTGAGGAAAGATGCTCTGCGATCTCAGGCTTTGTGCTTCAACCTTCCCTGGGCCTTGGTTTCCCCTCTACAGAGTGGAGATGTAATTCCCATCCCACAGAACTTGCATTATAGTTAATAATTATGCCCTGCCTTGCTGCAGCTTACAGTCTAGCCATAGAGACAGGAATGAATGTAGAAAATGATGTACCAGCTGGTCAGAGCCCAGAAGTAGAGGGCACAGCAGCCTTGTCTAGGGGTATGTGACTGGCTTCTTGAAGGCCAGTAGAAGTGAGCAGGTGAAGGTGGAGGAGGGGCAGGCATGCTGGCAGAGGAGGGCATGGCATAGGCAAAGGCCCGGAGAGTGAAAGATCAGAGGTGTTCAGGTTGCCAGAATTGTGATGGGGTTGGAGCAGAGGATGCAAGGGGCTGCTGACCAGACCCTAGAGGGCCTCAGTGAGGGCTGAGGGAAGAGACCCTGGGGAAACTTGGAAAGGTTTGAAGCAGGAGAAGGACATGGTATAGTATGAGTCTAGAATCATTTTTCTCAGTACTGGTGTGGAGGCTGGAACTCAGAGGAAGGGAAGCAAAGACAGCAAGAGGGAACCTAGCTGGCTGCCTCCTCATAGGTGGCTCAGATGGCCAGTGACTTCTCTTTATTCTAGGAAAGAACCAGCTTGGCTGACTGTGTGACTTTGAGGTCCCCTCTCCTATTCCTCTGAGCCCCCAGTGCCCTCCATGCAGTAGAAGTCTGGGGAAATAGTGGCTGAGGAAGCCCCAGGTTGGCAAGGACACCCATCTCCTCCTCCTCCTGCTCCCTCTAGGACCTGATGTCCTCAGCAAGGTGCCTTCTCCCTTCCCCCTCCTCAGCCCCATGCCAATGCCTTTAAGACATTTTCCTTTTTGGGCACTGGGGGGCCTAGCCACCTGTTGTCTCTAAGAAGACAGAAGGAGCCACCCTAAACTTAGCAGCTGCCCTTGGCCTCCTGCACTGGCCCCTCCCTGCCTCAGATGGCAGCTGCCTTGCCTTATACGGTTACCATGGGGGTCCAGGCCAGGGAGGAGCCCACTTATTACTGAGTTATCGGAGGGGAGGAGGACTCCAAAAAGGGGAATGGGAGGAGTGCTCAGAAAGCTTGGGTCAAGTGGAAGGTGAGGAGAAGGAGATCAGACACTGAATGGGAGTTCACAGGCTTTGAGTCTGAGTTGGGAGTGAGGAGCCTCATAGAATTCAGAAACCAAGGAGGAACTGGGAAGTTGGGAGCTAGATCTGCCTGGAATTCCAAGATAGTGGGTACTATATGGAAATTGGGACCCTCTAATCCTAGGGCTCAGGAGAATGGGGGTCAGAGAGAAAAGAGGGGTGTTTAGAAGCTGGAAGGTTGGTGCTCATGTCAGGTCTGTATGTTTGTGGTCTAAGGGCAACCTGAGGAGCTCATGAGATTGGGGTATGGGTTTTTAGCAGCAAATGAGGAGCACAAAGAGATGTGGCTATGAGGGGAGAGGGGTTGATGGGACTGGGGTCCTAGTTCCCGAGAAGAATAGGAACACAGATATGGGGAGTTCATGTTATTGGGGATTCGTGGATTTGGAGCTTAGGATTCCCATTAGAAATCGTGGGAGCACTTAAAGGGATTGGAGTTTGGGTCGTGGGGAGGAGCTCAGATAGATGGGAGCTGAGGAGAGGGACTTGGGGCTTGTTATTCCCGCAGGAAATGGGGGATCCAGAGAGATGGATGGCTTAGAGGATTTTGAGGCTCTGGCTCTAGTTGCCTGCGATTGGAGTGTTGGGGCTAGTTGGGGGCAGGGAGTGGA